GTGTAAAAATATCAGCCTACAGTCTTTAACTTTAGGGTGTGCACTTAAGGATCAAAGAAAGGTTCGCAGTTCCTTCACACTAGAACAACAGATAACATTTATATTAGACTATTCAAATATCAAAATAAATAAGCATGTTTTCCATTTGCCTCTGGGGGAATGTAAGCAGCAGCAACAAGATAGTGCTGAAAAATATGTTCCAGATTCCAAGGGAAAATGCAGAGGACATGACCTCAGTTCTGCCAGTTGTAGCTACAGCCCTGCTCAATTTTCTCAAATATGTCCTCACAGGTGAAAGACTGAGTAAATATTTTTATCTCTAAGGTGGGGTGGTAGACTGGGCGGGACTGTGCAAGGTGACACACCTCTGCTCTGTAAAGGCTTTCAGTACCAAAGAGAGCAGAGTGAGGAGTGAGATACCTGCAGGTACGCTGAGAGCAGGACAGATTTTACTGTTAGTGTAAACACACAGCTGTTAACATCAGGAATAAAGTTTTGGAAGTCAACCCTGGTAAGTCAATCAAACATCCATTTCCATTCCAATCATTAGTCTCTGTAGTAGTCAGAACTTTTAACATTTAAAACTGTTTAGTTCTTAAATCAATGTACAGTAACCATGAATCAGAAGCTGCAATGAAAGACACTGAAATTTTGTCACATGTTGTTTTTTTATTTTTTGAAGCCACTAGTGATGTGTGGTTATTTGTTAAGATACTTAAAAAAATTAAATTTAATATTATTTTCGTCTGTTTGATGTCACATGGATTCACTGAAATCAAAAACATCCTTTACACTTGACTGAACCTTGGGTCATGTCCGTGTTGCAACACATTTTTAGTGTTTTACACAATTATGACAAAATAATGACCTTTTCCATCCCAAAATGTGTTGTAATATACAAATGAACTATGGAGTGTACATTCAGTACATTATAACACACTACTCTGGAAGGCTGCTGTTGTGATATTAGTGTTTTGTAATAGTTATTAACAGAGTGTTAAGGTTGTTTCTCACTAGTGTTTTTGTTTGTACAAAAACAGGAATTCTCAGTAGTGCTGATACAGGAGTTCAGTCAACATCTTGAAATGTTTTTTCACTTTTTCCACTTAAGTTAAGAAATACCATATGATACATTAGTTTGACACCACTTTTCAATGAAACCGGTCTTAAGGAAGTGTGAGTGATACTGGATGTGTGTCCTCTTAATAGCAGTGATCCGAGTATTGATGAGCAGAGAGATTGAATGGTGAGATACACTGTATTGTTGTCAGACTGGTTGGGTGGCTCGTTCACTCATACAGCGTAATCCCAGCGTTACTGAAGCACAGAGAAGGACAGGCTGACGTAACAGGGAAGGGAAACATTTAAATGAGGGTGTTGCTTTTGCAGGTATTGGCTAAGACTTGTTTCTTTAGAGAAAATGTAGCTAAGATTAAACTGCTGCTTGCCTTAAAACAACAGCAGCAGCACCAGAAGAACTGTTAGCATCTGTAAGTGGATCAAAGGTCCTTTTAAGAACACCCTTTGTACCTCCACCTAACATGTTTTCTGATACCCTCTTTCCAGCTGTAAATTCATATAAAGCTGCCCTAACTTTCTGACTCCAGAGCAGCTGACACAGTGGAGGATGACAAACATCTCACGGTATCTTGTTAATGTAAGTCTACTACACATCACACTGCACACTGCAGTGATATTTTAAGAAACATTTTCCTCATCCTTTTACTTCTCTCTCTCTCTCTCTGCATGCAGCACCTGCTGACTTTCTCACTCCAGGATGGAGATGTGCATAGCGTGGAGGAAGCCCAGTCGCGTCTCTCCTTCCTAGCTCAGAGCAAAAAGCTGTGGAGTCAACAGATGTTCCTAGATGTTGGAACAGAGGCCATTCATCTCCGGGACACACAGAGCCAGGTAAGAACACGTGCGTTATGACCAACAGGGCCTGTAGGTTGTAAATAGATGAATGTGGGATTTATGCAAGTCAT